CATATGAGCCCTCGCAAGGAGGTTTGGTGTGACTCCAGTACAATCTCAAGAGCATGGAAGAGATACCAGGAGATGGGCCATTACACAAGCAGAGCTGGACAGGACCATAGAAAAGCAACAACCCAGCAGCAGGACCAGCATCTGCTCCTTTGTGAAAGGAGGCACTGTTAGAGCCCTCAAAAATTACCTTCAGCAGGCTACTGGTGTGCATGTGTCTGACTAAACTGTCAGAAACAGATTCTAGGAGGGTGGCATAAGAATCTTGACACCCTGACCTGTGCTCACAGCCCAGCACTGTGCAGCTCGATTTAAAAAAAAAAAAATGTGATTTGTTGTGGCTCTTTCTCTCTCTCTCTCGCTCGCTCTGAGAATGCAAGTTGTTTCTGAGAAAAGCAGTTTTCTTTCCTGTTTTTGCACAGCCACCTTCAAGTGCAGATGTAGAACGACGCACACCACATTGCAACAGACGAGACAAGCCAAAAGAGTAATTCATTAACTTATATATATGTATAAAATGCAGATATATACCTAATTCCAAAGTGTTCACAAACTTTTTTTTCCCGTTTATAATTTTTTTATACAATAGGTACTTTTCTAAAATATGGACTTTTCAAATAGACTTTCTGGAGCATATATTTGTACCCCAGAACTATATTATTCAACTACTGATGTAGATAAATTATATTCTTCTTCGTTTAAGCAGATCTTCCCACCATTTAAAGATCTCATGGATTGGACTCCAGACATTTCCACAGACCATAAGAGAGAGAAGCAGTCAAAAATATCATCAAACATCCTTCAGAATCTGGCATTGCTTGTCAATCTAACGCATGTTTTTCTACAAAAAACTCCTGTTTTCAGCTCTTTCCTAACGAGTCTTTCGTTAATTGGATTTGAGGAGTTGATGGATCTAAAAGTTTTTGTATGCCCATGCAGACATGATCTGAATACATGGCTAACAGCATCTATTTTTGTTTGTCCTCCTTTTTTATTTTTGCTTTAATGTATCTTATTCTAAGACCTTTTAAACATGATTGGTTTCATTGTTCTCAAAGAGAGAATGATACTCGGCAGAACTGGCCTAAAGCTTTAGCACATTGTCTGATGCCATCTTTAATGTGGGTCATCATCTTGTTACTTGATGGTGATTATATTGCTTGTGCCATGACAGACTGGAAGGGAGTTTATGTGTTTGATGTTGAGCTCAACAGGTCGTGGTGTAAACCCAATGGTGACATGCGAAATGAGGCAGAGCTCCGAGATTTGAATCGCCAGTATATTCATAAATCACAGGTAAATATCATGTACTATGAGTTATTCCTGTTTTCTTAATGTCATAATGTAATAGATTTTTTTTTTCTCTTTTTCTCCCAAAATGTTAGAGGGAAAAAGAATAGTTTCTTTCCCGTTCTTACATATGTATTTCTTCTAAATCATTTGAAGGGATAGTTCACCCAAAATGACAGTTTATCATCATTTACTCATCTTCATGTTATTCCAAACCTGCATGACTTTCATTCTTCTGCGAAACACAAAAGAATATATTTTGAATAATTTTGGGAACCACTGGAGTCGATTGACTTCCATTGTATGGGAAAAAAATTAAAATAAAAAAAATATTTTATGTTACACAGAAGAAAGTAAGTCAATAGCATTTATTTTTTTTATCAAATTTTTTTTTTCTTTATGTATTGGTTCTTTCAGCTTACAGGTTACTTCATAAGCCTAATCTTAAGTGTATTAACAATAACCTTAAAGGTTATTTATGACTGCCACATAAGTGGGAAATGTGACTTCTGCCCAAAATACTGCAGACAAACAGCAGGGACACAAACTGAGGAACAAGGTAGGATACATTTTCAAGAACAGAGTGGAGAATTAAACTCTGTAACTCTTTGTTATTTTGCCTCATACTTCCAGCACTGCAGAGCCATAGAATTTTTTTTTTTTTTTTTCTGGGTTAAACCAGACCCGAATGCATTATGAGGTATATTACAAATGTAAGGCTTAAATATAATGAACTGGAAATGACTGCAAATGAGTATGTTGTATTCAATGTGGTTTTGATATTTACAGTTTTCCTGTGTATGTCCAATAGGTTCTGCTACAATGGGACAGGAACTGCAAGTGTCAGGGAGTTTTGCTACAACGGGACAGCAAGAGTCATGGAGTTCTGCCTCAATGAGACATAAACAAGAAGGGGCAGAGGGTTTTGCTGCAGCGCCATGGCAATTAGACAGTTCTGATACAGTGCGACAAGAAAAGAAAGGGTTAGGGAGATCTGCTCTAGCAGGACATGGACAACAAAGGTCAGGGAGTTCTGCTCCAATGGGTTCTACTACAATAAAACCGGAATGGCAAAAGCTACTGCCATTGCCACTCCAGGGGCACCATCAAATAAGCGACTTGCAAATGAGCAATGTGCACATATCTAAAAGCAAGTCTCTTTTTAAAGGGGAAAATACCTTTTTGTGAAATGATTTGCTTGGAATAGTCTGTTTCTGTAAAGCATGTTTCAATGGAGAAAAAAAAAAGGTTTAGCTACTGGCACTGTCTTGTTTGCTTAAGAGGACTTAAGCAAACTTTAGACAGGGCCGGTTCTAGACATTTGGAGGCCCAAGGCAAAATTCACGTTGGAGCGCCCCCACCCACAATAAAAACACTTGAAACAATTATGATTCCTAACCTTTGTATTTATATTGTATTTATTTCATTTTAAATTTAGCATATTTTTACTTATAAAAAAAAAGTTTCAACTGAGGGTGCATTTTTACTCTGTGAGAAAACAGACATATGGCATGAGAGTGTGAGAACAGTGTCAATTGCATGAGATTTGCCAGCCTTGTGGCTTAACAATGATCGGGTGTTTTTCTCCCAACTGTATGAATGAGTCGCTACTGGAGAGTGTAGCTTCATGCGAAAGCACATCTGACTCGTACCGTGGCTAAATGCCACTATGCAAATATATACAGACAAAAACTTTAGACATTCCTTGATTGAAGGGACTATTATACAGATTTGCGCTGCATAAAAATCTTACTGCTTTCTCTACTAGCTTGTGTAAAATGTCTATTTTCACCTAAAACGTGTTTTCATGCAAGCAAACCATGACTGTATAAGTGAACAACTGAACATGAACTTGTAGAAACCTAATAACATCCATAATGTTTTACTTTTCAAAGGTGGCATGCATTGTCATTTGCATTTGGCAGTAAGTGTGCAGCACTGGGCACAGAGCACACGAGAAAAGCTTTTTCTGCACCTAATGGCAGTAAACCACACATCTTGTTATTGTGAAGAAACAAGACAACATGCATCACAGCAGAAATTAATGTTGCTCCTTTGTGAAAGTCTAACTTGTGAAAGTCTCCATTAATGACAGTTTATAACTGTAACGTTGTATTCAGACAGACGGATGCTGTACATCCGCTTCTGAGCTGCTGAGAGATGTTTGTTGTGTTGGTTCATCCCGTTTATCCAGTTGCTCCAAAGTTCTGTTCTTACAGTCTCTATAAATGATGGCAGTCATGATGGAAATACAGAGGACTGACAGTACAGCTAAAGCTGAAAGCTTTAATAACAAATAAGAAAAGATTATTATGGTGATAAAACAGAATAACAGTATTCATATTCTTCAAACATGCCTTCTTTTCCCACATAATTCTGCAGTTATTAGATTTAATGTACAACCTACATTCAAACTGTTTCACAGATCATTTCAACTTTAGGTTTTATAAAATTGCCAATTTTAAAGAAATGTAACAATCAAAGACTTGCATTACCTTGTCAGAATGTTGTTTATCATGATCATTGCATACTGAACTGTTATCGGTCCTCTTTCTTGTGTTATTTGCATACTGAATTCTGTTCTGTTTTTTTCTTACATTTAGTGCCATTAGACTACATTGCACAAATTACATTAAACTACAAAAGTTATATTAACATTAGTTTAATGCCTCGCAATTGCTGGTATTTCCTTCAGAAAAATCTTTCATCCTCATGCAAAATCACCCAATAGATTCCTACTGAATTGACTGCATTTAGCACGCAAAAAATCGCTGAACAATAGTAAATATGATTGCAGCATTAGTGATTTGAAGTGCTTTTGTTAATGCTAAGTGGTAAAAATCAAAGTAAAGTATAACACTGAGTAATATTAATCAACGATATGTCATTAATGTAGAATTCAGCTGATGTGTGATCTCATCAGTGTCGTAGAATCATTTTTAAGGAAGGTCCTATTTAATAAACCGTGTAAACACGGTAGACTCACCCTCGAGTAGAAAGAGATTTTTTCGGTCAGTTCCAGCAGTTCTGTTCCGTTCACTCCAGCGTGATTCATTCCGGTGGGTTTGCACCATTTAATCTGGAGCTCTTCATCCAAGACGTAATCTCCTTCCCAGTGTGCCATGCCACACGCAACATATTCACCCTCAAACAGCAACAGAAACATCCACAATGAAGGCAGAATCAGACTCAATAAAATAAGCTCTGTGACATTCTGCGATTTACGTCTGCAAGGCTTTCTCATGAACATCATCACAGTCAGAGCCAGAAGAGCAGGTCCAAGAAAGATGAAGCTGATCAGTACTGCGTTAAGGCCTGGGGTACATGGGCACGAAAATCCCTGATCCATTAACAATTCCAGTCCGATTAATACAACGGTAAATGGCAACGTGCCAAATCCTGGAGTTTTTCTGAGCTGTTTTTCCAGGTTGTTCGCAAATTGGTCTGGTAACGACATCTTCACCAATGCAATTCGGTCACTTTGATGAGGCTTTGCACACCTTCTGTTGTAAGGCAATGTCCTCCGTTTTTCCTGAAATGGAAATTATAGTGGATCAAACCTGTTAAACAAGGAAGAAAATGAAAATAATTCTACAGGCAACATGAATAAGCCATTGTTCTTATAGGTATGCAAATAAGTGTACATTTCAATAACAACTAAGCGCATTGAAAATGACAAGAAAACACATTTTATTTCATAGTTCTTGGTCCAAAATCACATTAGGTGTATCTGTATGTATTTAAATAATAAATGTCCTACATTTCCCCTTATTCAACAGCAACCTGTACGATTGCACTGCAATATCAAGCTAGTTTATTTTGTAATTAAAAACACTTCAACCCAAAGTGAAGACGGACCAGTAAACTGTGTACATTGTTTTGTATAAAAGTTCTACATTTAATACATTTCCAGAAAATACAAGCAAACCGGACGTACAAATCAACTATAAAATTATAAAACTTTTTTCCTTGTCCTCTAGTTGTGTACATTTGCACAGAGAATGTGTTTTTTTTTCATCAAACATGGCATTACAAGAGTCCCGCGCGTGTCGTTTCACAACCAGTGAATGAAAGTGAGGCTATGTGACATAAAATCCGTTTTCAGTCCTTTTCAGTGCTGAAAGACATTTTGCGATATGAAAATGAAATAACATGGTTTCAAGTTGTACAGTTGCAAAAACCATCATGGATTGGTTTCACTTTCGGTTTTGACTGCATATTTGAAGCGCCTGGAAACACCGGTCAACTTAAAGATAAACATATGCGAGAAACATCAATGAGAGATATCAAAAATAAAATCTGTGATGAGCATATGATGCATTTATTAAATAAGTGTCTCTTTTTTTCTAATACTGCTAAATGTAAGAGGCAACTTGGGAATATCTAGGCATTGGCAATCCTTTCACCAACAGGAAAACATATACATAGTGTGTAGGTAAATAAACCTATATAAAATTCTCTTTAAATGTATATAAAGCCTTTTGAGATTGAGCAGCTTTGTCCGTTTCTTTTTTTTTCATATTTGTGTAGTGCATTTACAAAGTCACAAAGCAAAGAAAAACACTGCATTTGTCATTTATAAAAGGACATTTTGGTTGCAACAGAAAGAAACTGTTAAAACGAAAACCAGCACGTATATGTGGGACGCAAAGTGAGATGATTTAACCTGACTGGACATAAAAAGTTGATTTTTTTCATATATTTTATACAGCTCTTTATAAAAAACAAAAACGAAGCAGGCTGTGGAAAAGCTAGGTTATGCCGCCGTTTCTCGAATCGTCGTTTCCAGCCTCTTTGGGAGTAAATGGCGTCTCGTGTCGAGGTTGATGACTGGCTTTCGACAGTGCTGTCCGTCATGGTACGTCATCTTTGAGTAGATGGAGTCTGAATAGTTCATGGCCTGGAAACATACAATGATGATATAGTTGGGTTTATACTTTCTTAATGAACGTAAAATGCTTCATTTTAATGAGTTCTTGAATCCACCTGTCCTGGAATGAGCTCCTTTGGAACGTTCTGGATGGGTAAAGTGTGTGCAGTCAGTGGGCGCGCGGGGGGCAAATTGCGCGGGTCGCTTGACTTCACACACCAGCCCTGAAAAACAACAGCATTTAACTGGGATGCACTAAAACCGTTGAAAACATTGTATATATGAACAAACTTGCAGATTAAAATCATAAATTAGACTAAATCATTTGGGCAAATTCTGGTTGGAGCCCAAATTACATATAAAGCAAGAGTTTAAAACTAAAATTGCTACTCTGGAATACTCTTCTAGTTCTGCGAACTCAATTGATTTGAGGCAAAGAAATCGGTCCCATAAAGACTAAATATGACCCAGGACCACAAAACCAGTCATAAGGGTCAATTTGTCGAAATTGAGATTTATGCATCAGCTGAAAGCTGCATGCATATTTGGATGAGATACAACTATTTGAAAATCTGAGGGTGCAAAAAAATCAAAATATTGAGAAAATCGCCATTAAAGTTGTCCAAATGAAGTTCTTAGCAATGCATATTACTAATCAAAAATTAAGTTTTGATATATTTACAGTAGGAAATGTACAACATTTCTTCATGGAACATGATCTTTACTTAATGTCCTAATGATTTTTGGCACAACAGAAAAATCAATAATTTTGACCCATACAATGTATTTTTGGCTACTGCTACAAATATACCCCAGCGACTTAAGACTAGTTTTGTGGTCCAGGGTCACAAATGTCCTTGTGGGACTTTGGCTAAATAAAAGAGAACAAAAGAAATATTCAGTTTTACTAAACCAAGCAAAACAAACCAGTTTAGAATTTAGATCTTATGGAATTTTTTAGTACAATTTTGGATACTGAATCTGACATATTTTACAGTCATGATTTGTTATGCTTTATTATTTGAATTGTTTGAATGTGGAAAAATTCATTCATGTATCCAGAGCTATTATTGTTACTAAAACTAAATTAAGACCTAAACTAAAAAAAAAAAGTTTAAGGCAACATTTTACATTTTCGGATAAAACTGAAGTAGTAAAATAACTAAAACTAAAAACGTTAGCAATTTTTCACAACTTTTCTGTTGCTTAGTCACATTGGACTAGTTGTCTGCAGGTCATTTGTTTTTAATAGACCTTGTTCATGAAACACCAGCAGAATGAATTTATAAAAGAAAAATTCCAGAAAGTTGTTCAGAACTTACAATTCCTACTCATTTAGTACCTTATGAGGGTCAAGGGTGAAGCTGGGGTGAAGAAAGCTTCCCACGTCTACGTGATTGTCATTATCAACTTCGTACATGTTATAGGACGGATTCCCGATCTCCACGTTCAAGCTACCATTGGCCATAGGCTGCCGCTGAACCTGTTTACCTCTGTGAAGGAGTAATGCATATTATCTTTGTTTAGTTTTCACAGGGACATTTAGCACACAAGCTAAATGCTGAAGCACAGATGGTTTACAAGATTTTCTACAGCAATATCAATAAATCAGATGTGTAATGTTCTGATTAGACATCTAATACAGCTAATTACAGATTTGCTTATATATTTACCTTCGACATCTTTTGCAAATAAGGAGTCCCACTGCAACAGCGGTGATAATGCATACAAGAAGAACTAGAGGCACTATTATGGCAATACTTCCTGAAAAATAAATAAATAAATAAGCTATATGTACTTTATAGTGTTTCAATCACACTGTATTTACATAAAGTAATATGAATGCTTTATGTAAGGGTGTGGGGGGGGGTTGAAAACTTTTGAACAGAATGAAGATGTGTACATTTTTAAATTGAGTACTGCCCTTCAGAAGCTACAGAATATACTGACATTTTTCCAGAAGACAAAATAAGTACAATTTACCAGGATCTTTCAATTCAAAAAGTTTTCACACCCTTGACGCTAACTGCTAACCTCTCTTAGCTAACACGGCTAAAATGTCAATGCTTCTCTGCAAAAATGAAACGAATGAACTGCCTAGAACTGCTTGACTGACGACTAGGGGAAAACGTTTGTCTCTACCAACTCGGACAGAAGGGAAGAGTAGAGTAGTTGCATTTTCTCTCCTGACTAACTGACGTAAAATTACAGAATTATAACACTTTCGAGATACCTTGTTTTGGCTAAATTCTAACACCGAATTACAATTATCCTGCTTAAATAAGGCAATCCCAGAATGCATTACAATGACCATAAAAAATGGTGAACTAGGGTAGTGTTCAAATAAAATAATTCAATATGAGAACGATCTAATTCAAAACAGAACTTTTTACCCATCATTTATGTGCATTACAATCATTTTTTGGTACTTTTATGCCATTAGCAACATGTGCTAACACCAAACTCCATTGAAATCAATTGTGATTGTGAAGTTTTTGGGAAACGTGTGTGTGTGTTTGTGACACTCACTCCCGCTGACATTTTCTGAACGGTTGGTCTTGGTTGCAGGTCTTTCGCACTGTGTTCCTGACCAGTTTGCAGAACACCTGTGAACAGAGAAGCAGAAACAAATATCACAGCTGGTGAAATTTACAATGCATTAACTTCTTCAAATCAACATATGATTAGATTTATATAAAATAATAACAGTTTTAATTTACCTCAATAATTAGTTTTTTCACTCTGGGTTTCCTTTATTCATTATTATGGTATCATTTGTTTTTATTGATTTTTTTTGTTTTGACAAGCATGGAAACAAATGTTAATAATAAACGCAGGATAAATCACAGGAGGAGGTATAAAACCCAGCCCAAGGGATGCATTACTCTAACTTGAGACACATGCAAAGTGTGTGTTTGTGTGACACGGGGCTTCCTGGATCCAAACGGCATGCGTCCACAGCAGAAATCCACTGACGTGAGAGATTATGCACTTATGAGAGATGGTGGCGTGAATGAAACTGGTCGAAAACAATATTTAATCAAACTTCCTGTGGACAGGGATTATGTTTCCTGCAGGAGGGATGCACATGGATGCACTGCTGTCTGAAGAAGGTGACAGAAGATCCAGAAGAAACACACCGAGGTGGAAATATATCCCGCTAGATACAATTCTGCTAGATAAAACTAAATACTTGAAAATGTCTGAGGTACTTTCCACGGATATGGTACGAAACAGGATTTAATTTTTTACCTTTTGATTTGTTACATCTATTTAGATACCTTACAAGGATTAGGAAACAGTATATATATACTGCCCACTTACAAAGAAATTAAGGGTCTGTAATTTGTATGGTAGGTTTATTTTAATGGACAGAGACAGAATACAGACCAAAAAATTCAGAAAAAACACATTATATAAAGGTTAGAATTATGCATAATTGATTTGCATTTCAGTGAGTGAAATAAGTATTTGATCCCCTACCACACAGCAAGAATTTTGGCTCCCACAGATGTGCCCATGTGGAACACAGATTAGTCCTGCCACTTTAAGAAGTTACTCCTAATGTCAGCTCGTTAGGTGTATAAGACATCTGTCCACACAATCTATATCTTCCATTCCAACCTCTTCCACCACCATGGGCGAGACCAAAGGGCTGTCAAAGGATGTCAGAGACACAAGGCTGGAATGGGCTACAAGACCATCAGCAAGAAGCTTGGTGAGAAGGAAACGCGAAATGAGAAAGGAGAGAAATGCTGACTATGAGCCCAAGAACACCATCCCTACAGTCAAGCACGGAGGTGGAAACATTATGCTTTGTGGTTGTTTTTCTGCTAAGGGTAGAGGACGACTTCACCTCATTGAGGGGCAAATGGACAGGGCCATGTACTGTAAAATCTTGGACGAGAACCTCAGCCAGAACACTGAAGATGGGTCATGGATGGGTCTTCCAGCATGACAATGACCCGAACATACCGCCAAGGCAACAAAGGAATGGCTCAAGAAGAAGCACAATAAGGTCATGGAGTGACCTAGCCAGTCTCCAGACCTCAATCCTATAGAAAATCTGTGGAGGGAACTGAAACTTCGAGTTGCCAAACGACAGCCAAGAAACCTTAAGGATTTAGAGAGGATCTGTAAAGAGGAGTGAATCAAAATCCCTCCTGAGATCCCTCCTTACCTCAGTGCTTGCCAACAAGGGTTTCTGCACCAAGTACTAAGTCATGTTTTGCTTGGGGATCAAATACTTATTTCACTCACTGAAATGCAAATCAATTTCTAACCTTTATATAATGTTTATTTTTTATTTTTGGTTGGTATTCTTTCTCTATTCGTGAACATAATCCTAAAATAAAAAATTACATTTCTTTGTAAGTGGGCAAACTTACAAGATCAGCAGGGGATCAAATAAATATTTCTCCCACTGTATATAAATTATTAGGTATATAAAATATATGAAACATTATAACATTTTCATATACTAAAACATAAATAAAATAATAAAACAGTTTAAAACAATAATGTTGTAGTGATATATATATATATATATATGATTTTTATTTTTTTTTATAATCATTAATGCCAAGACTTTATAAACTACTGACATTTTTCTATGTTTAAATATAGCAGGTTTTCATGCTGGGTCAATTTTATGTTATATATTAGTTTAGCAAACATATGTAATAGGGTTCAAAACAAACAAAAATAAATACATACATAAATAGTTATTCCTTGTTTATTTATTTATTTATGCAGAAAAAAAAAAAAACCTTGGCACACCAGTGTACCATATTCGTGAAAAGTGCCCTGCATGTTTAAACATAAGCAAAGAGAAAAAAGGCAGAAAAATGCACGTCAAATACGGAACATCAAAATGGAAAGACAACGAATAGAGGAAATTATGAATACTGCAACAAAAGAAGATGATAAATAATGGATACTAGAAGAGCAATCAAAGACACATCGTCCTCAGCATATGCAGAACTATAACCACTAACACTTATTAAAAAATTCCAGTCATGGAAAGCATACAAATGAAACAAACGCACACCTACAGCATGGTGCGGAGAAATGGCGGCGTGTGTCCGGAAAACCGGAGTGCAATGCGAAATGTGAAACGTGCTCTTGGAAGCTGTGCGAGTTGGTTTGCGATGTTTGTGCGTGTTCATTCCACGAACAGGCCAGACGCATGCTGACCGCGGCAGATGGGATTGTGGGAATGTTCTGGAATGTTTTGTAAATTTGATGAACCAGGAAGACCTACTTGCAGCGAGGTTTGTTATAGGCGGTGAGGGAACAAACGCCCTGGTTCTGACAGTAGTGATCGCACGGGTTAGCTCTCTCGTCACACCTCGGGCTTTTAAACTCGGACGGGCAACTGAGAACGCAACCAGACCAAAGGAGAGTCGTGAGGACAACACAACAGAAAGAAGGCCTGAAATACACACACCCACACCCACACAGCAAACAGCAGTAGGCTATCATGCCCTTCTCTATAAGACTGGGTGATGTGAACATGAAAATTAATTATGAACATTGTTCAGCCTTTTCACAAACATTAGGGTGAATTTCATGAAACCTGTTAAAGGGGTCATATCATGCGATTTCAATTTTTCCTTTCTCTTTGGAGTGTTACAAGCTCTTGGTGCATAAAGACGATCTGTAAAGTTGCAACGACTAAAGTCTCAAATCCAAACAGGTATTCTTTATAAAAGTTAAGAGTCAACCACGCCTACCTAAAACGGCTCGTTCTAACACGCCCCCACATGTCTATGTCACGATGTGTTATTTTTAGCAACATCATATGACCCCTTTAAGAACATGCCTGGGTAACATTTCACATACTGTATGAAACACTATCCTGCATAAAGCAAATGAATCCTGCTTTCAGGACTATTCAAATATTTTGCTTTGTGATATTACTTTCATGTCAATTACTGCAATATAAACATTTTATTAAAAATAAATTAAATAATCTCATTCTCATTACCTTAATGCAAAATAAATATAATTTCATTACTATGAATGAACGAACAAATGATCAATCTAATTATCTTTATGCAAAAACTAAAATCATCTAACTTGCAAAATCATAATGCAGAATAAATACATTTCATTCTCATTAGAAGCAAACAAACACAAACAATAAATAAATAAAGCAAAAAAAAATTAAACTTATTTTCATGACCATAATGATAGATAGATAGATAGATAGATAGATAGACTCATTCAGATAGATAGATAGATAGATAGATAGATAGACTCATTCCAATTACAATAAACAAACTAATAAAGTAATCTAATTCTTCTTATTATAATGTAAAATAAATAAATGAATAAACAAACAAATATGATCATTATCATTACATAATACCAAGTAAATTAATAAATATAATTACCATAATGAAAAGCAATTTAATTCTTAGTACTGTAATGCAAAAACTGAACAAACAATAAAATAAAATACATAATTAATTTGCATTACATTGCAAAAAAAAAAAATCTAATTAAGTAAACAACATAAAATCTCATTATATTAATGGAAAAAAATTATCAGTACTGTAATATAAAAATAAATAAATTAATATAAAGTATTTTCATTAATACAAAAAAAAAAATCTCATTCTCATGAATGCAATGCAAAATGAATGAAAAATAAATGATCACTCATTATATTAATGCAAAAAACGATCATTACCATAATGCACAATAAATTAACAAACAGATAAATCATAAATAAAGAAATCTCAGTAACTAAAAATATAAAATAAACAAATAGTCTTATTCCCATTATCACAAGGCATTTTAATGAAAACTGAACGTTTTGGTTTTACACTGATGTCAATCACTACTAACAATAATGGGAAAAAAAAAAAAAAAAACTTTTGTTAAATGTTAGATGCTCCGATGCATTGCAGTAATGAGAATTTGGAGAGAAAGTCACATTGCAAAAAATCTAAAAAATTGTTGATCACCATATTATCAATTATTAGCTATTGTACTGCTATACAAAACAAATAAGCTTCTCTGGGCCACACAAAGCCGTCTGCACACAACACAACGCAAATCTGCAGATCTGAACTAAGTTTAAAGGGGTCATATGAAGTTGCAAAAAAGAACATTATTTTGTGTATTTGGTGTACTGAAATGTGTTTATGCGGTTTAAGGTTAAAAAAACACATTATTTTCCACATAAATAATGGGAAAAAAAAAAAAAAAAACTTTAGTTAAATGTTAGATGATCCGATGCATTGCAGTAATGAGAATTTGGAGAGAAAGTCACATTGCAAAAAATCTAAAAAATTGTTGATCACCATATTATCAATTATTAGCTATTGTACTGCTATACAAAACAAATAAGCTTCTCTGGGCCACACAAAGCCGTCTGCACACAACACAACGCAAATCTGCAGATCTGAACTAAGTTTAAAGGGGTCATATGAAGTTGCAAAAAAGAACATTATTTTGTGTATTTGGTGTACTGAAATGTGTTTATGCGGTTTAAGGTTAAAAAAACACATTATTTTCCACATACTGTACATTATTGTTTCTCTTCTATGCCCCGCCTTTCTGAAACGTGTTGATTTTTACAAAGCTCATTGGTCTGAAAAGCGAGGTGTACGTTGATTGGTCAGCTATCCAGTGTGTTGTGATTGGCCGAAATCCTCAAGCGTCAAGTGACGGAAATGTTACGCCCCTTACCATACTGTGAAGGAGCGACGAGACAAAAACATAAAAAAACCCATTATAAACGAGGCATTTGTTGCATCCAGTGGGAACATAATTACATATTATAATGACTTATACTGTCGTTTTACGCGTTGCTGTAACGAATTAGTCCACTGAAGGCGAGCGTAAGTGAGAACCCAATACATACACAAGGCAGAGAGACATGAGGCAAGGGAAGCATGATGCTAACAGCAGAAATCAAACTACAAAATAAAAGACACAAAAACAAAAACATGAAACAAAACCCAAACACCACATTACAGTTGCATCGTGCCGCGTAAACATAAAACCATGTCTGCATTTGTGAGACCATGTTGCATCTTGTCGGAGAAATGACAAACAACAAGAGCTACTCTACACTGCTCAAAA